GCAATTCTTTTTATGTAATCTGCGATAAGCCATTCCTCTACACAGTTTTCTTTTTGTTATATAGTTAGATAACACACTTATGTGAAATGCAACCTTTGCAAAACTCCAATGAAAGCTGACTAAGAAAACTAGTACTTTACTTCCGGATAGTGAGGAATGGGGAAGAACGTCAGTTCCAGATCCCCCAGGACATCTCGACCGTGCTTTTGCTTTGAACCTCACACCGCTGGGTTTTCTACCCACACATCTTTTGTTGTTGGCATCTACAGACCAACCCTCCTTCTCTGAGGATGTTAGTGGGTTGGTCACCGTTCCTGTCTCCAAAAACCCTGTCCTCATAATGGGGGACTATGTATTCACAGAGCTCATCCTTCTCACACCTTGGCCTCTGGTTCCTTGAGCTCCATGATCTGGCCCTTTTGATAGCAGCAGGAAGAAGACAAATTCCTAGACAGACAGGGGCAGGTCCCTGGGGAAACCTGACCTTCAAGCCAAAGAAGGCTTAAAGCCTGAAAACCGGGCCTGCAGTTCCAGGTAGAGTCCATGACCTGGAGTGAGAACTCCTCATTATTTCTTTTTTTTTTTTTTTTTTTTTGAGGCAGTCTTGCTCCGTTTCCCAGGCTGGAGTGCAGTGGTGCAATCTCAGCTCACTGCAACCACTGCCTCCTGGATTCAAGTGATTCTCCTGCCTCAGCCTCCCGAGTAGCTGGGACTACCGGTGCATGCCACCAGACCCAGCTAATTTTTGTATTTTTAGTAGAGACAGGGTTTCACTGTGTTGACCAAGCTGGTCGTGAATTCCTGACCTCAGGTGATCTGCCTGCCTCGGTCTTCCAAAGTGCTGGAATTACAGGTATAAGCCACCATGCCCGGCCCCTCATTACCTTTTAGCCAATCAAGTGGTGCTTTTTCCAGGCCTGCCCATATACCAATCAGCATGCATTCTCCCACTTGGAGCCCATAAAAACCCCAGACTCGGCCACACGTTGGGACTTCCTGCCTTTGGTTAGGGGCTACCCACTTTGGGTCCTCTGTCCTGTTAAGAGCTGTGCTGTTACTCAATAAAGCTCTTCTCCACCTTGCTCACTCTCCAGTTGTCCGTGCAATCTTATTCTTGGGTGCAGAACAAGAACCCAGAGCCCACTGTAAAACAGGTATGAAAGGAACTGTAACAGTGTATCCCCCCCATCCTCTACTGGCACCAGGCCGCTGCCCCACATGACAGGAAGTGGTGGTGGGGTCAGGCCAGCAGCCCAGGAGCCTTGGGCTGGAGTAGGGCATTGGGACTGAATGAGCTGTAACACAACAAGCTGAAACACATTCTTGGCCGGACTGCTGAGCTGTGGGCAGTGACACACTCTCGTTTTCCAGATTACAAGAGAAGAGCTATGACCCTTTTGGGGGCCCATACCTCGGGGTCCCTGAGCCAGAGCTGTGACATGTTGTAACACCCTCTTGGGGCTCCGTGGTTGCTGGCGTCTTTGAGTTTTCAGGTGCAATGGCATTCCCCCCGTTGGGATGCCAGTGCCGAAGGTGGAAGCCACTTGAGGCATGCCTAGTCCAGCCTCAGCCTCACACGGTGCCAGCACCTGGAACTGCCCACCCCTCTGCAGCAGCTGGCGTGCTTGGCTGTGTGTGGTGGCTGGACCCTGTCCATGAAGTGGACTCACCTCCCATTATGCCTGGGTCACCCAAGATGGGCATGAGATCTGGAGCAGTAATGCAAGCTGAGGACAGCCTGCCAGGCTGAGTAGGCAGAGCTAGCCCACCATTTGCGAGCAAAATGGGCAGAGGTGCCACTGGTCACAGAGGTTTCTATCTAGGGAAGCAGCACCAAAAGAATCCTGTGTGACTTTGCTCATCTCAGTGACTCATTCTGTGGCTATATCTCAGACTAGCCTTTGGGATTCCCAACAACTGTGCCTCCTACTATCCTCAATTTCAAGCAGTTCTCTGACCACCACCTCCTATTTTTCCAGCTCACTACTTCTAGTCCCCCAAGTCCAATAACTCTAACTGGCCAGGATCTGCATCTACCATCCTCTCACTTCCTCTGGTCCCTTCTTCCCTCCTTGAGCAGCCTCATGCCACCGTTAGTCATAGTAAGCACCTTCTCACATTTGCAATGCCCTCAGCCTGCTCTCTTCTTTACACTCTCCTGGCAAAACCTGAACACTGATGAGAAATAATTCTTCACTCTGCACCTGCACTCATGCAGCTGAATGTCTCTGGAGAAACCAGCCAGAGTGACTGGTTTTAGATTCAGACCATGAACTTCACGTGTTCCTCAGAGCTGCCTGGCAGGCAGGAAACCTTCCCCAAGCACACTGCTCCCACTCTGTTCTTTCTTCTAGAACTCTTTTCACCTCTGTCCTCATATTTTTTTTTTTTTTTGAGACAAAGTCTCACTGTCACTCAGGCTGGAGTGTAGCAGTGTGATTACAGATCACTGAAGCCTTTACCTCTGGGCTTAAGGGATCCTCCTGCCTCAGCCTCTGGAGTATCTGGGACTACAGGCACATGCCACTACACCCAGCTAATTTTTTTAAACTATTTTGTGGAGACAGAGTCTCACCATATTGCCCAGGCTGGTCTTGAACTGCTGGGTTCAAGCAGTCCTCCAGCCTTGGCTTCCCAAAGTGCTAGGATTACAGACATGAGCCACAAAACCCAGCCTCAGCTTCTTATTTCAGAGAAATATGTAAAGAAGTAATCAGATGAGAAACTGGCAAACACCTGCAAGTCTCCACTCCCTGCTTTGGTGCCCCTGCCCTTGGCCGTTCCTTCTGTTGGGTGAATGAGCTTCAGGCTCCTCCCTGAAGCTGCCTCCCCTTGTGCTCCAGAGCCCATTCCCTGATTCCTACTCACAGGTTTCACTGCGGCAACTCCATCTTGCATCATCGAGTTTTCTCTTTCCTTCAGTAACGTGTGTCAGTACACGTACCTGCTGTTACTTCTGCTATCTTAAAAAAAGACTTTTCGCTGGGTGTGGTGGCTCATGCCGGTAATCCCAGCACTTTGGGAGGCTGAGGCGGGTAGATCACGAGGTCAAGAGATCGAGACCATCCTGGCCAACATGGTGAAACCCCATCTCTACTTAAAACTACAAAAAATTAGTTGGGTGTGGTGGCGCGCACCTGTAGTCCCAGCTTCTCGGGAGGCTGAGGCAGGAGAATTGCTTGAACCCGGGAGGCAGAGTTTGCAGTGAGCTGAGATTGCGCCACTGCACTCCAGCCTGGCACCTGGTGACAGAGCAAGACTCTGTCTCAAAAAAATGATTTTTTTCTTACAAAATGATTTTTCTGAGTGTGTGGCATGGTAGGCTTCAAGTAGCCAGGTCCCGCCCACCTTACATGCTGTAATAAATGTGTTGGGGCTGAGGACCTGTGCTTAGCTATTCCAGGAGTCCTGGATGCCCAGCCTCCCTCCTGCTGCTTCTCTACCCCCGCCACCCGGCAAAGCTCTTCAAATCCTGTCCCATTCTGCCCTTCGTTCCTTTTCCTTTGGTTGACACCTCCAGGACTTCAGAATGTTCCCTATGTTCTCACCAAACAGCTGCCAGCCAGGCTCGGTTTTCCAAGTGGGCTTTCCTGTACTTTATGTTCATATCGTGCTGTCCCCAGGCAGCCCAAGCAGGACGAACGGTGGGAGAGGTCCTGGAAGAGCCTCCTGTTCTTTCCTCAGCTGTACTTTTTTTTTTTTGTCAGAGCACGTGGTTTCAGAGCTTCAGGGACAAGGCAGCTTTGTGAGAAGCATATGCAAGAAGGGACAGATTTCTGACATTTCCATAAAAGCACAAAGCCTTGTTTTGCTCAGAATCAAGGTTGGAAAAGTAGCTGGTAGGTAAGAGGTAATTCATGACATGAGCATGGGGTAATGAGCTTGATTCCATCAGCGTGAGGTGGAACTGAGTTACCCAAACTAGATGTCAGCTCCGCCCAGCCACCACCCACCCACACCATCTGCGCTCAATAAGCATTTATCTGTTGGAGGCTTTTCTGCACATTGCTGGTCGCTTCCAGAATCTGCATCCCAGTTCTGATAATGCAGTGGCTAGAGCCACGGCCTCGCAGCTTCCTTTCTTCACCTCTAATCTTACTTCTTCCTGCCTCCACTTGACCTCTGTGGTCCCCCTCCCGGCCATCACCTAGAGGTGATGCACGTGGCTGACACAGTGAACTCTGAGGGCTGGTTTCACATTTCTACATCCTTTTTTTTTTTTTTTTTTTTTTTGAGACAGAGTCTCGTACTGTCGCCTCGGCTGGAGTACAGTGGCATGATCTCGGCTCAGTGCAACCTGTGCCTCCTGGGTTCCAGCGATTTTCCTACCTCAGCCTCCCAAGTAGCTCGGATTACAGGCACCTGCCACCATGCTCAGCTAATTTTTTGTGTTTTTAGTAGACATAGTGTTTCACTATGTTGGCCAGGCTGGTCTCAAACTCCTGACCTCGTGATCTGCCTGCATCAGCCTTCCAAAGTGCTGGGATTACAGGGGTGAGCCACCACATTCAGCCTCTGCATCCTAATTCTTTAGCAGCAGAGCTTTTTTGTGTCTTTATCCTTAAAACAACAACATTGCTCTCCATTCATTAACTTATTGGGGATAAAAAGACAGAGTCAGCCGGGCGCGGTGGCTCAAGCCTGTAATCCCAGTACTTTGGGAGGCCAAGGCGGGTGGATCACCAGGTCAACAGATCGAGACCATCCTGGTCAACATGGTGAAACCCCGTCTCTACCAAAGATACAAAAAATTAGCTGGGCATGGTGGTGCGTGCCTGTAATCCCCGCTGCTCAGGAGGCTGAGGCAGGAGAATTGCCTGAACCCAGGAGGCGGAGGTTGTGGTGAGCCAAGATCGCGCCATTGCACTCCAGCCTGGGTAACAAGAGCGAAACTCCGTCTCAAAAAAAAAAAAAAAAAAAAAAAAAGACAGAGTCAGAGGTGAGGTGATCTGAGATTCTTCTTTTAAATGACTTGGGGCTTCAGCTAAATCATTGTTTCTTTATTTATCAATTGGCAGTATCAACAGAGGCCGAACCTCTATAGAAAGCTGTTATAACAACATAAAAATCCCCAAGCGGTACCTGTAACGTTGGTTTCACGTGTCAAGTCAGCCAAGCTATAGTATCCAGTCATCTTATCAGGCATTTCTTTAGGGGATGTCGTGAAGGCATTTTATACGTGTGGTTAACATCTACAACCAGTCCACTTTCAATTAGCAAGATTACCCTTGGTGATATGGTTGGGGCTCACCCACTTAGCTGAAGGCCATAAGAACAGAACTGAGGTTTCTGGGAGGAGAAATTGTTTCAAGACTGTAGTGCCAACACCTGCCCAAGTTTCCAGCCTCCTGGCCTGCCCTACAGATTTCAGACATGTAGTCCCCACAAACAGATAAACCAATTTCTTAAAACAAGTCTTGATGACTTTATCCTATTGGTGCTGTTTCTCTGCAGAACTGTGATTGCTACAGTACTCACTGATAGCTAAAAGAAGGTATCTTTCTGATACAAGTCCTCAGTGGGGAGGAAGGAGATTGAGAACCACGTGAAGGTAGTTTTACACAATAAATCCATCCTGGACTATGCCAATATCCAAGGCTGCAGGAGAGAAGCAAGAGGGCTGTTGGGCTGAGGACTAGTGGTGGGGACATCACCACAGCACCAGGTTGTGGGGGGAAGGGACACTTCCACGTCCTGCTGAGGTCCTCTCTGACCAGGGGCCGCTGGCAAGTATTGCTGGAGGAATGAAGTCGCAGCCTTGGACTAAATAGGATCAGGACAGAGCTTGGTACAAAGAGAGGTGCTGGCTAGCACTGGCACACATTACTTGAGGACCTACTATGTGCAGGCCCCTATGAAAATCTGCATTTCTTCTTTCTCATGCAGCTGGCTTGGTGAGCCACTGGGTGTGGCCGGCCTGGGTTCCTGCATTCTTCTCTTACCAGCAGGAGTTCAGGCTGCCCCTGAGCACAAAGGCCCTCCCTGCCCAGCTCCTGGAGAGCCTCCGTCTGCCCACTCAGTGCGGTGATGTGTATGCTGTGAAGGGCTGGCGAAGCTCCTATCCCTGCACACCCCTAGGGGAAGTCCTTGAGTGTGGGCTCATGCATCTAAGGGCCACTTTGGAGTCACACAGGACTGGGTCTGTGTCCTAAGACTTAGCCTATGTTTCAGGCTCTCTCTGGGAGATGACACAGCCCAAGCCTTTGCGAGGGCTTCAGTGGAGGGGAGGGGCTGTTATGATGCCTTAAAAACTGTAAAGAGCCATGCACGCCCATTCTTCCTGCACACCCTGCATTCTCCAGAGAAGCAGAACCAATAAGATGTGTATGTATGTAAATACAGAGAAAGAGAGAGGTGAAGTATTTATTTTAAGGAAGGGACCCATGCAGTTGTGGAGATACAGGTCTAAAAATCTGCAGGGTTGGCCGGCAGGCTGGGAAGAGCCACAGTTCAAGTCCAAAGTCGGACGGCTGGCAGGATTCCCGCTTCCTCCTGGGAGGTGTCTTTCGATTCAGGCCTTCAACTGATAGGAAGCATTGTGGAGGATCATCTGCTTTACTCGATGTCTCCTGATTTAAATGTTACTTTCATTAACAATACCTTCACAGAAACATCTAGAATAATGTTTGACCAAATTCCTGGGTACCACGGACTAGCCAAGTTGACACATAAAATTCACCCTCACCCCCAGTATTCACCCTCACCCCCAGTATCCAATCCCAGGGACATGTATGTACCCTTTGCCCAGAAGCCTCACAGAAAGCCCTCAGAAAAAAGCCTGGGACCTCACTACCACTCCCATTCAGGTGACTTTATTACCAGGAGCAGCAGATATATCTGGTTCCACCCAGCTGTCCTGCAGCACAGGGTTGAGGTCGGCACTGCCCCTGGCTCTCAGAGTGTGTAGGATGAACAGATGGGCTCTGGAACTCTCTAGAACACATCAGGGCAATGCCCTGTGCCCAGGACATGCTGAAAGTACCTGGTGTTACATCACCTCCAAGGACAGACCCTGCCTGTCCACCTTGAAAGGCCCGTGGCCTGGGCCCCAGCTGTACTTCCTACCTCCTTAATAGGAGCACAATAGCAGCAAGCCAGCCCTTCATGCCAAACAGCCCTGAGAGACCAACACGAGGCCATGCTTCTCTTATACATTATAATAATCAGAAAATCATCAAAATGCTTTCGGAACAACCCACTCCAAAGAGTCCTGGAGGCCAAGGCACATGCAACCTTAGCTGCCCGCATTCAACCTTGGGAACTGCCCACCTCCTTCAGTCCCTCCCGTCCTGGCCCCGCTTCTGCATTACAAATCTTCATCGTCAAAGGTCTCCGTGCACTGCAACATGATCATCTCTTCATCAACAGGAAAGGATGCTTCCTGCAAGACACAGGGTGGAAGAGGTTCACTTTTTATCTGTGGGTCTCGGGCCCCAGGCAGACAGCAAGGCTCCTGCAGCTCTGGGGTGCCCAGCCCCCAGACTCTACCCTACGTCTCTTCAGCTGCATTTTCATCTCCAGCTTCTCACTTCCTTCTAAGTGAGAAGGTACCATTTCCATTTCACTGTCTTCGTCACTCTATGACTTGCAGAAAAGATAGAGCAGAAGTGGCTTCTGTTTTATCCTGGGGATTTCCAGGGTCCCATAAGAGAGGCAGAGGATGTTGTAAGGCTTTACCCAAACGTGCATCAATAGAAGACAATGCACTGCACTGCGGTGCTCCCACCAGTGAAATACCATGCAGCTGGTTTCCAACAAAAATAATGAGACAGCGCTCTATCTATGGGATGCACTATTTACAAAGGGCAAAGTGCAAAGAAAGCAGCGTGTATCAAAGGCTACTATTTGTGTTTGAAAGAATATATGAGTATCTGCAGAGCATGTGTGGTTGAGTGCACAAGAAACTGGTCACCTCAGTTGCCTCTGGGGGAAGATATGAGGTAGGAAGCAAGGGAGAGAGGAGACTAAGTATCCATTGTATGTCTTTTGGTAACTTGTAAATCTTATGCCATGTACATAGGTTGTCTATTAGGAGATGATTCTTTTCTAAGCAGCAACACTGCAGCTGGGCATGGTGGCTCATGCTGGCTAGCACTGGCACACATTGCCTGAGGACCTACTATGTGCAGGCCCCTCTGAAAATCTGCATTTCTTCTTTCTCAGGCAGCTGGCTTGGTGAGCCACTGGGGGTGGCCAGCCTGAGTTCCTGCATTCCTCTCTTACCAGCAGGAGTTCAGGCTGCCCCTGAGCACAAAGGCCCTCCCTGCCCACCTCCTGGAGATCCCAGCACTTAGGGAGGGCAAGGCAGGCGGATCACCTGAGGTTAGGAGTTTGAGACCAGCCTGGCCAACATGGCGAAACCCCGTTTGTACTAAAAAAGAAAAAAAAAAAATTAGCCAAGCGTGGTGGTGTGCACCTGTAATCCTAGCTATCCTGGAGGCTGAGGCACAAGAATTGCTGGAACCCAGGAGGTAGAGGTTGCAGTGAGCCAAGATCATGCCATGACTGCACGCTAGCCTGGGTAAAAAATATAGAGGCAGCACTGTTTGCTTAGCATGGGTTTCTCAGTCCTTAAAGGGACACTGTAAACAGTGATCCCAGCCAGTCCCTCAGGACTCTCCGTGACCTTGTTCCCTAAAAGTATGTCCCTGGGGTTTTTCTCTTCCTGTTTCTCTCCATCCCAGCAGAAAATGACCCCTGTAACTTGGCAGCCCTGCAGATCAGGGTTGATCCCCATGGGCCCAGGCAGCATCCCTGACCCCAGTCAATCATCTACTGACTGTGGGACCTGGTCCCAAGGGTGACATCCTGATAGTGGGGCCGACCTCCACACACCGAGCCTTTCCTGCCCTGGAGAAGCAGTTCCCATTTACCATGCTCTCCTGATAGGGGCAGGGAAATAGGGATCAAGAGTGCCAGGGAGGTGGGGCCACAGTCTCTGGGCAAATCATATGGGCCCTTCGTTTAGCGGGAAGACAATAGCAGAGGTTGAGAAGAGAATGGAACTTTTCTGTTTACACCAGAGTCTATCAAAGCCTGAGTCCTCCTGCCCCAGAGCCACTTGGACAGGTCATTCAAAATGCAGAGGCCTGGGCCCTGCTTTTGCAACACTGAGGCCTCCAGAATCTAGGAGTACTGAAGTGTGGCATCTTTGCTTTCTTTTGTTGTTGTTGTTTTGAGAGAATCTCACTCTGTTGCCCAGGCTGGAGTACAGTGGTGTGATCTCAGCTCACTGTAACCTCCACCTTGTAGCCTCAAACGATCCTCCCAACTCAGCCTCCCGAGTAGCTGGGACTACAGGCGTGCACCACCACACCTGGCTCATTTTTGTATTTTTTGTAATGATGAGGTTTTGCCATGTTGTCCAGACTGGTCTTGAAATCCTGGGCTCAAGTGATCTGCCCACCTCAGCCCGCCGGCGAGAGCCACTGTGCCCAGCCACACCTGTGCTTTGTATGGGTACTAGAACCCTGCTTATCATGTTTTCTACCATATGTGGAGCAGGAGGGAAAGCAAAGCTTGTCCTTTTTGTCTATTCTCAAAGTCTTGGTAAGATAGACTATTTAACTGTATCTGAGAGAAAGAGGGGACAACTGCTGCAGGGAAGTCGCCCAAGGATTGGCGGGAGGGGGAAAGCAAACTGCAGGGACGGGCTCTTACTCCATGTGAGGATTCGCTGTGGTCCCGGCAGAGGGAAATGAAGACTTAGCTGGAAGACGACTAAGTATTGAATAGCCGTCCTATGTTTAGACAAACATTTGCTATTATTATAACTTACCTTTTAAATAAACAGTTGTATTTTTGCTAAATTAGTCAAGAAAGATCCCTGGCTATGAATCTGAAAGGGCCTGTCCCCTCCCCTGACAAAAACCTCCAGAAATGGTCCTCCTAAACAGGACTGCCACTACTCATGGCACCCTAAGTGGAACAATTTGGAAACAGACATTAATATCCTTCAAAAGCTGACAGCAGATATTACTGAAGATGACGAAGATTACAGAAGATGATGAAACAGCTCAGCGTTTTGGAGGAGTGTCAAGGGTTCACACATTAAACATTTATGAACGCCTGCTGAGAGTCAGGTCCCTGGGATCTGGTCCCTGCTCCAAAGGTTCCCAGTCCAGGGCTGCCCTAGAGCAGTGCTTCCCAACCTTTATGGCACCGGGAACCAGTTTCATGGAAGACGATTTTTCCACAGAGGAGGGATGGTTTCAGGATGAAACTGTTCCACCTTGATCATCAGACACTAGTTAGATTCTCATAAGGAGTGCATAACCTAGACCCTTTGCATGAGCAGTTCACTATGGTTCTGTATTCCTATAAGAATCTAATGCTGCTGCCGATCTGATAGGAGGTGGAGCTCAGGCCGTCATGCTCACCTTCTGCTGTGCAGCCCTGTTTCTAGCAGCCATATGTGTACTGGTCTGTGGGCTAGGGGTTGGGGACCACTGCCCTAGAGGACACTGCTCTGTGTTTCCTGGTTCCCTGGAAATCTTCCATTCATTCTACAGGATGCATCAGGCTGAAGGTGATCATTCATGGAGCAAGCCAGAGAGAATGAAAGAGTGTCCCTGCCCAGTGGCCCCTCATGGGATGATTGAGGTGAGGTCAGGTGAGGGCTGCCCATACCCTTTTTGCATATAAGGGAGGTAAGCAGAGGTACCACGGCCCTCTACTCTGTCCTACCTGTTTTACTCGAGTGTTTGCACAGCCAAGGCCTTTAAAAAAGTTGATAATCTGCATATAGAGCTGAAACTTTTCCTCTGGGTTTTCTGGGTTGGAGCTGGCAAGCACTGAACTGACAACAGAAAGGAAGAAGAGAAAACAAATATTCAGGATCCTGATCTTTCAACTCCGCCTCCCCCTCCCCTGAAAGATTTGTGTTACAGTGTGAACCAAGCACTTGTAAATTCTCAGACAGCCCAGATCTGTCCTTGAAAGGTTTGTGTTGCCTCTGCTACATATCATGTCTGGAATCCTCTGGAAAATTGAGACTCTGGTGAGACTGGCTCCAGTGCCCCAATTTAGTGTTCGGAACTGTGGCTTCTGGAACAAGGGAACAAGAGTTCCTCTATCCCTCAGTCAACCTCCTGCAGAATGCCCCACGGTTCTGGTTCCACTGTGGCTGCTGAGGCAGCTCTGGAGCACGTGGCGCGTCTTGAGTTCAGTCCCCTGAGTTGCCTCTGCTCTGAAGGTCTAATGTGGAACTCAAGCCCTGGTGCAGAAAGGAGGCCTGTTGTGCAGGCTCTTTTCCTCCTGCCTGCCTGGAACAAGGGGAGAAGCCCTGTGTGACTCGAGCTTATGTCACCATAAGCAGCACAGTTTGGAAGCAGACATTAAAATCCTTGAAAAGCTGCGGGGCCTCAGAAGATGATGAGACAGCTTAGCCTTTTGGAAAGGTGGTGGGGGCTCGTGCAACATTTAGGGATGCCTGCTAAGAGCCAGGGCCCTCCAATGTGGTCCCTGCTTCAGAGGGCTCCCTAGAGCACAGAGACTGTGCATCTATAGGAGAGCTGGCACTCACTTTCTGTAAGTCAGTAGGCAGCCCTCACTTCCTCCCGGGATGAGGTCCCGCAGTCAGCTTAGGAACCCCCTGGCAGCTACCCCTGACTTTTCTAGGGAAAGTAGGACATTTTTAATAGGTTGTTTTCCTGTTCCCTCAGCAGGGCAGGGAGTTCTGAATATTGCTTGACAAGGACAGGCTGGCAGCTTCCCCATGGTTGTCTTTGCAGCCCAAGCCGAGCACAGAAACAGGAATGTCTCTTCCAGCCAATTGCAGCAAAATGTAACCCTACTCGCAGCTGAGAATCACTTGAGTCACTCTGGAAGGTCGATTTGGAGAGGACAAAGCCCTCCTCTGTCAACCCCACTTCTCCCCAAGTCCATCTAGGCCTGGGTGGAACAGGGAGAATGGAGCCAAAATGCGGATGTATGGTTTGCCTGAAGCTCTGCTGGGTTACTAGGGACAGCTGTGGCCCCAAGGCCTCACAGGCACCCATAGGCCAGGCTCCCCTTGAGAGGACAATAGGGATATTCACTGGGATCACAAGGATACGTCACTCTCACTCCCAAGGCAGAAAAATGAAATGTCCAGGGTTCTTTTTAGCCATGACAACAGCACAGATATCTGAAGAACCTGTGCCTTCAGGCCCTAAGACTACAGCTTTTTCAAGCAAAGCAGCAAGGGAATTTCAGTCCTACATGATTTCTGTTTCAGAAAACACTCCTTTGGGACATGGTTAGTCAAGCTACTAATGGTTTTTAAATCTTTTCACATCCTCTTTTGTGTCTTCCCACTTCATGGGGTCAGCTATCCTTTTCTTCCCTCCTTCCTATCCATTCCTATCAGGGAGTCCCCTAAACTCAGGGCCCAGGCCTGTTTGCATGTTGGCCCTTATTCTCCGTGTCCCAGAGCCCCCTCTCTGCCTTCTCCTTCCAGATTGGCTGGGAGAACCTGCCCGCAAGCTGCCCTGGGTGCTACAGACTGAAAGTTTGTGTTCTTCCAAAATTCATATGCTGAAACCTAACTCCCAAGGTGATGGTGTTACGAGGAAGGGCCTCTGGGAGATCATGGATTAGGGCATGAAGGTGGGCCCCTCATGATGTGATTAGTGCCCTTATAAAACAGGCCCCAGAGCCAGGCACTGTGGCTCACACCTGTAACCCTAGCACTCTGGGAGGCCGAGGCAGGTGGATCACCTGAGGTCAGGAGTTCGAGACCAGCCTAGCCAACACGGCAAAATCCTGTCTCTACGAAAAATACAAAAATTAGCTGAGCATGGTGGCGTGTGCCTGTAATCCCAGCTACTCGGGAAGCTGAGGCAAGAGAATAGCTTGAACCTATGAGGCAGAGGTTGCAGTGAGCCTAGATGTGCCACTACACTCCAGCGTGGGTGACAGAGTAAGACTCTGTCTTAAAAAAAATTTTTTTTTTTAAAAAGAAACAGGCTCTAGAGAGATTTCTTGCCTCTTTACCATGTGAGGTTTTATCCAGAAGGTGCCCTCTGTGAAAAAATGAGGCTCTGACTCTGCTGGGACCTTGATCATGGACTCCCCAACCTCCAGAACTGTGAGAAATACATTTCTGTTGTTTTTAAGCCACCCAGTCTATGGCATTTAGTATTAATGGACTTAAGGCAGGGATATAGCAGCCCTCAGCAGAGGTCAGCAGGGCTAACACAGACTGGGAATGGGGCGCAAAGAGAACAGATTCACAACCTGCTGCTGGGACCTGGTGTGTCCCAGCCCTGCGCCAGGAGGTGACTCCTCTTGCTAAAGAAGGTAGGAGCTCATGTGTGAGATGCAATTACCAGAACCTCAGTTTACCACTGAGAAAAAGCTCATCAAAGCCTCCCAAAGTGGACAGATTACTGGAGTCCAGGGTCCACAGTCTAGCAGTCTCATGCCAGGGCAGCTGCCTCCCCTGGGTCAGAAAGATTCTGGGTTAGGCTGCAGGCAGGCCAAATCTCAGCCCTGCTCCTCTCTAGCTGTGTGACCTGGGACAAGTTACTTCCTCTCATAAATTCTCCTCTATAAAACAGGAATCACATCAGTGTCTACTCATAGGGCTATTCCAAGAATTAAGTAAGATAATGGGTGAGAATTTTCTACTCTGAAGACTCCGCAGAGAATGTCTTCCCCAGGGCAGCAACACAATCCTAGGGCCAGCTCACTTCCAATCTCAGAAAAAAAAGCGGATCCCTGAGAACACCCACTGAATTAGGCACCTGATCTGGGTTTGGCTCTGTGTCCCCACTCAAATCTCCTGTGGAATTATAATCCCCACGTGTTGAAGGAGGGGCCTGGTGGGGGGTGATTGAACCATGGGGGTGGGTGTCCCCCTTGCCATTCTCATGACAGAATTCTCACAAGATCTGCTTGTTTGAAAAGTGTGGAGCACTTCCCCCTTCACTCTCTCTCTCTCCTGTCACCATGTGAGGATACACAGGTTTCCCCTTTTGCCTTCTGCCATGATTGCTAAGTTTCCTGAGGTGTCCCCAGCCATGCCTCTTGTATAGCCTGTGGAACTGTGAGTCACTTAAACCGCTCTTTATAAATTACCCAGTCTCCGGTAGTTCGTTATAGCAGTGTGAGAATGGGCGAATACAACACCCATCAGGCTGCAGAGGAGAGGCTCTGGAACACCCCAGCAGGAGTACAAACACACACTCTCAGACTGAAAGACTAATCACATTCATACACACGCAAACTCGCCCTAGCACCCCCCCCCCACACAGTCTCACGCCCATCCACACAGGGGTGCATGCTATCTCACACCCTCATCCTCACCTGGAGCTAGATGTACTTGGAACCTCACTTTTGTCCAGGAAACTTGCCACATCAAAGGCATCTTCGAAAAGGATCTGAAAGAAAGAGCAGCACTTCATGCATGGGAAATAACTTGACAATTTCACACTTGCTCTGGGCTGCTGGGGGAGAGACAAGTGGAAAGGCTCTCTATACCACACCCCAGAGGGCATGCATGTCAGAGCTGGGGCCCACACCCAGGGGCTCTGCTCGGTGTTCTTCCTAGGGGGTGAATGCTAAACTCTAGAATGCCCAAGACAAACTGCCAACCCTTGAGGTGGCAGAGAGGGACAGGAAGAACTGGGGATTGTGACTTCTCTTGCCAAAGAAGGTAGAAGCTCAGGTGTGAGATGCAATTACCAGAACCTCAGTTTACCATTGAGAAAAAGCTCATCAAAACCTCCCAAGGTGGACAGATTATTGGAGTCCAGGGTCCACAGTCTATCAGTCTCATGCCAGGGCAGCTGCATCCAGAGGATCAGAAAGATTCTGGGTTAGGCTGCAGGCAGGCCAAATCCCAGCCCTGCTCCTTGCTAGCTGTGTGACCTGGGACGAGTTACTTCCTCTCACAAATCCTCCTCTATAGAACAGGAATCACATCAGTGTCTACTCATAGGGCCATTCCAAGAATTATGTAAGATAATGTATGTGATATATCTGGTTACATCTGAACATTATCTGCTTTATAACAGACCTCACTGGCACACAATTGAACATTATCTGCTTTATAAGAGACATACATGTTCATAGTGGAAATTTTGGAAAATAGAAACAGATCGAGAAAATCAGAATCACTGAGAAACAAACCCACCCAGATATCCATTGTTACCACACTGATCTAATTCTCTCCAGTCACTTCCCTAGGTATATAATATCATACATTTCCAATTTGGAATAGAAAATAATATATATATTTCCAATTTGGAATCTTGCCATATAGACAGTTTTTCATTCTGCTTCCCTTTAATTTGTTAGAGAATATTAAATATGTTACAGAAACATGATTTACACTTATGTGACTGCCAGATTTAGCAAATACAAATAGGAAATGCCAAGTTATGTTTTGAATTTCAGATAAAGAATGAATAATTTTTAGTATAAGAATGTTCCAAATAGTGCACAGGATGGTGTTGTATTAAAAATTTAACTGGACATGCTTTGCTGTAACTGACATTCCCTTTACACTGGCAGTCACACCTCAGAGAGGAGAGGAAGTCCTCTGACCCTGAGTTGGCAGGTACTGGCAGCTTCTGCCAGGGTCTGTCATCTCCTCTCCCCTCCCTGTGAGACACAACTCTTCCAAAAAGGTTGTTGTCTGCCCTTTCTGTCTTCTTTCAGTTTGCTTCCCTGGAACTGAATCCCTTGGAACTCTGGCCCTGCTCCTAGTTTTCCGGACATTTTGTTTTATCCTTCTACTTGATATCTCTTTGGTCATTTCAAAGAGGGTCTGGAAAGGGGCCACAGAAAGGCCTGTGATCCAGGGTCCATCAGCCCTGAAGCCCATCAGTTTCATGTTCCTCCCTGGCAGGCCTGGAACAGGGACCCAGAACTGAAATTCCTCCCTTAAGCAATCAGCCCACCAAGGTCACCGGCCACACATCCTGCTCACCTGTGCAAATCCCCCTCCCAAGCCAGCCTGAGAGGGGACCCCCCAGACCAGGTTCTGCAGCCTTTCCAGAGTGCCACCACACCCACAGGGCAGCTTCTCTCTGCACTGAAATGGAGCAGTCCGGTGCCTCCCAAGCCCGTCGGACCCTGCTGCTGGCCTCTAACATAGCAGTTCTGCCTCAGAACCTCTCCAGGTGGACCAGGGGTTGCAACGGTTACACTGCACAGCAGGAGTAACTGTGACTTTGTCCCTGCGTCGGGCATGAGAGTTCTCTGTTCTGCCTACCTTATCACCCAGCCCTGGCCTGGCCTAAATCTGGGCACAGCGGTGCACGCAGAGCCCTGCTTCTGGGCACAGCTGAGGGAATCTGCTGCCAGCTTCCTTTAATAGCCAAGGAATATCATCAGCCCATAGGCCTCCCTGAAAAACCCAGAAAAGCTGTTTCCATGATTTGGAGACATTAGATTCTGGTTGTTTTCTCTTTGGATGTGTTCTTCCTGAGGAAGTGTTCATGCTGGCACAGTCAAATTTGACAGAATTGCTCAGGCATTTGGTGGATACTGTCATGAATCATTTACTGATAGGGATAGGTTCTGAGAAATGTATCCTCAGTCAGTTCTGTCATGTGAACATCAGAGTATACTTATGCAAACCTAGATGGCACATATACATTTATTTATTTACTTATTTGAGACGGAGTTTCACTCTCATCACCCAGGCTGGAGTGCAACGGTGCAACCTCAGCTCACTGCAACCTCTGCCTCCCAGGTTCAAGCAATTCTCCTGCCTCAGCCTCCTGAGTAGCTGGGATTACAGACGCTTGCCACCATGCTTGGCTAATTTTTGTATTTTTAGTAGAGACCAGGTTTCACGATGTTGGCCAAGCTGGTCTCAAACTCCTGACCTCAGGTGGTCCACCTGCCTCGGCCTCCCAGGGTGCTGGAATTACAGACGTGATTATGTGCCTGGCCCATGTATTTATTTATATATATTTTTGCATATGGAAAATCCCAAATCCAAGTTCTATTACTGAATATCGTTTCCCTCTACTTGATTTGGAATGTGAATATCAAGTGCCATATATCAGATTTCCACATATGCTCCATTATCATCTATGGGACTACCATTGTCTATGTGGTCTGTTCTTGCCCAAAACATCTTGCAGCCCATGACTGTGTTTTCCATTCGTTTTCTTCGTGTGAGACTCCAGGGCTTGGCACTTTGGGGCTGTAAACACATCTGCTTGGCTGACCTTTTATACATGCCTTGGGTGTGAGGTCCCAATCATCTGGCCCTTCTTGAACTATCGTGGACCAGAATGCATATCTTTGCATGGTAGACCCGACATCAGAGGAAAATGAGATCAGAAGCCACAGTCTGGTGGACCAATGCGTGGAGGTCAGGGAAGGCACCAAGGTAGCAGCTGGTAGACTACTGCTCATCTGCACCAGGAGTTTCCTTCAATAGGACCCACTGCACCAGCCACCAGGGAAGCTTGTTAAAAATGCAGATCTAAGGCTCCACCTTCAGAGACTCTGATTCAGTGGGTCTGGGATAGCAGCCCAACACCTGACCTTTTTTTTTTTTTTTTTTTTGGTGAGATAAAGTCTTGCTCTGTTGCCCAGGCTGGAGTGCAGTGACACGATCATAGCTCACTGCAGCCTTGACCTCCTGGGCTCAAAGAATCCTCCTGCCTCAGCCTCCTGAGTAGCTGGGAATACAGGTATACGCCACCACACCTCTCTACTCTTGAAAATTATTAGTAAAGGTGCAGTCTCACTATGTTGCCCAGGCTGGTCTCAAACTCCTGGGGTCAAGCAATGCTCCCACCTTGCTTGGCTTTCCAAAGTGCTGGGATTACAGGCGTGAGCCACTGTGCCCAGCCAGGCACCTGACTTGTAAGAAACTCCACAGGTGATTCAGTTGAGAAGCATCAGGGAAGATAATGGGGGTTGACCATCAACAGGTGACCAAAGGGCAGAGTGACATGAAAAAATGTGTGATGAGAGAGATACAGTCACTGACGTGGGAACTGGGTGTTCTAGGCAAGTCACTCTGCTGGCTAGGCCTGCAAACTGGAAGGACAGGAATGGGTGACATCTCTGTTCTCCGGGCTTGGGCCTGATAGCTGAGGAAGCTTCCAATAAAATGGGGGCATTCCAGGGCTGTAACCCCATGGTCAGAGACAATGGGAGGCTCTTTGGCTCTAAGACGCCACAGAGAGACATTGGGAAACTGGCATGTCGTCTTCTCAGAGGCGCCCGGACTGAGAAGCATATGGAAAGCCAGGTCAAGGGGGTGGTATGCGTCAGGAGGTAACCATGGATGCTAAATGTCCACTAAGCACAAGCGTGTGCAGAGGGCGAATCGTCTGCCCTGGGTTAGAGGGGCCAACGCAGCCTGGGCCGTGTGGTAGAGCAGACATCTGAGCCCCTCCTCATTCTCAAAGACCCCCTGTGGGCCCACTTTTATCTCCGTGCTGGGTGACCTCAGATGCTACCTGCTTTGCAGACCATGTCCACGGCCATTCTGACTAGCGGACTGAACCCTAAGAAATGCATTTGCAGTGACAGCTGTGGTGCCCTCCGCTTCACAGAGCGGCCCCAGTGCTCTTTGGGGTGGGAACCGACCACCTTTCAAGGGCTGGGCCTGATCCTCTCTATGGCCACTCATTGGCTCAGCAGGCTGGCAATTTGGCCAGTTCTGGCCAATGAGAGGGGAGGAGCTGTTCTGGAAAAGTTCTTCCTTAGCCCTTAAGAAAGGGATTTCGTAGGAAATCTTTGTCTTACCGGATGTAAAGGAGGAAGAATCACAGTTCGATTGCTCTGGCTGCCATTCCACAGCCACAGGGGCCGGGGGAGGTGGGGAGGGGAGGGAAAGATGAGAAGCCGAGCAGAGCCAAGGGAGGCCTGAATCCACGGGGACACGGTGAGCTCCTCCACCTGCCTCGGACCTCCTGAGTGTGAGGAGTGCATCTCTTCAGGGTTTCATGATCCAGGCCCTAGCAGCCCAAAGAATCCCAACGGAGACAACCTCCCACGCCTTCTATTCTGCCATCCCAGGGCAGGGCCAGGAAACTAACCGCAGAAAAAGAAATGCTGTTCCGCGGCCCCCGGGATTATTGGAAAAATCAGAAACGGCAAACTGCACCTCCCACCTGTGAAATGCAAAGGCCTGGCGTCCCCGGGCGACGGCGAGGGTGATTCCTGCGCCCCATCCATGCCACCCCGGCGGGCCTGCTCACCTCCTCGGGCGTGGAGACCAGCGAGCAGCTGGCTCCCTGGCTGTCCACTCCGCTGTCCTTCATGCTGCCCTCAGCACAGGCCGCCTCCCGGCAGGCCCCCGCCAGGCTCGCCGGGTCACGGTGCTTCTGTGCCCAGGCCTGCCGGAGGCTGGCCTTCCTCTCCTCCGAGAGGTTTTGCCACAGGTGGGAGATGGCCGCGGAGACGATGGGCAGCGCCCCCTCCTGCAGGGAGACGATCCCGCTGCCAGTCAGAAGGTCCATCGTCTGTTTGTAAAAGTTGAGATACCTGGAACAGAAGCGGCGGCGTCTCGCACCCCTGAAGCCACCTCTCGAACCGTCTGAAGCACCGTCTCCTGGGGATTCGGTTCATGGCGTGGACCCCAGCACACAGGCCTGGCCAAGGCGCCTCCACTCACCCGGGGCTTAGCCTCCTCTGACTCTGCACGCCCCTAGCCCTTGGAGAGCAGTAGCCTTGAGGACCATGAAGGACATAGCCTTGGGCTTTGGGACCCCTCCCCGAGTTCTCCCAGTACCTGCCCCATGAAGCCCTGTGTGTCATAGAGAAGATGCTAGGCATAGCTGCCTCAGCTCTCATCCTAAGGGAATATTCTTCAACATTCTGAACCCATGAATGTGCTAGTATGAAAGGACTCCAGCTTTAACCTTCAGCCCTTAAGTCAGGCTGGGCTGTGGAGAGAGCCTCCTGCTATTGAGCCAACTCTTCTGGACGCCAACATGGCTGCTGAGGAGCCTTGAGTCTGTGGAGGAGGCAGTGGCAAGGGACATCTGAGCCAGCCATTCGCCATCTTTCCTACTATAAGACCAGTGCGGACTTGTGGGATATGTGTTTTAGGGGAGAGACGGGTTAGCCCTCATAATCATCATCAGCTGTGCCCCCCACAAAGCACCCCAAATAATCACCCAGTCTAAGTAAAAACACTGTATGATAAGCTATGATAATGTAGCTTGGAGACTATTTCTCTAGAGTCTCTGCCAGTCCTGTCTCTGAGCCCCTCCCATGTGAAAATCCTGGTGAGTATGTGACTCAGGGCCTGGTTGGAACCATGCACTCCAGCTGTGGTGTGCAGCTGCAGCATACCCCAACCGGAGCCTCTGTCCCCTTCCCCATGGGAGGGAGCTCCATGGGTGCACAAAGCCACTCCACCCGGTTCACACCGTTCAAATTCCACGAGGTCAGGCGACAAAGTGTCTGGAGAGTATGCGAGCACTTTTTTCTCCTCTTCCTCCTCCTCCTCCTCTTCCTCCTCTTCTTCTTCTTCCTCCTCTTCTTCTTGGCATTCCTCTTCCTCATCTTCCTCCTCCTCAGCATCCTTCTTGACTGCCTCAATTGAGTACCAAGGGGAGGAACCATTCTGAGGAAAACTGTTTGAGAGCAGGCTGGGAGAGAAAACAGAAACAAGACAACTATAGCCTCGTATCCCTCATGAACATGGACAAGAAATTCTTAGCAACTTTAGCAAGTACACGTGTGTGTGTGTGTGTGTGTGTGTGTAGGTGTACACATCATGACCAAATGAGCTTTTTCCTACGAATTCAAGATAACTGGTTCAACATTTGAAAATCGATCACTGCAATTCACTGTATCAACAGACTCCAGAAGACAAACCTCAACAGATGCAGGAAAAACATCTAACAAAATCAACATCCATGCCTGATAAAAACTCTCAGCAAACTAAGAATAAAAGGCAGCTCTGTTAACCTGATAAAGGGTATCTCCAAAAAACCTACCGCTACCATCATGCTTAATGGCAAAAGACAGTTTCCCCTCTCGCTCAGGGATAAGATGAGGCTGTCCTCTCTTACTACTTCTATTCAAAATTGTTCTGGAGGTTCTAGCCAGTCCGATAAGGCAAGCAAAAGAAATGAAAGGAATATAGGTCGGAACATAAAAACAAATCCATCTTTATGTGCAGAGAGTGTGATTATCTGTGTAGAAAAATCTCATCTACAAACGTGTCATTGGAAATAAGAAGGGAATTTTGCAAGTGCAGGAGACAATGTGAGAATGTAAAAATCCATCATATTGCTGCATAGTAGCAATGAACAATTGGAAATTGAAATTTTAAAAAGCATCATTTACAATACCACCAAAAAAAAATGACATACTTAGGTTTAAACCAAAAGCTCAATCTATTTAAGAAAGGATAAATTAGACTCATTAAAATCTGCAAATTCTGCTCTTCAAAAGATACCTTGAAGGGAATGAAACAATAGGACACCATTTGGAAAAGTCAGGCCTTGCACCCAGGATCTCTTCATACTTAGAAGAATAATCCCCAAGGTACCATGTTGAGTTAAAGCAAGCTCGGCCAGGCACAATGGCTCACGCCTGTAATCCCAACACTTTGGGAGTCTGAGGCGGGTAGATCACTTGAGGTCAGGAGTTTGAGACCAGCTTGGCCAACATGGTGAAACCCCGCCTCTACTAAAAATACAAAAACTAGCTGGGCATGGTGGCGGGTGCCTGTAATCCCAGCTACTCAGGAAGCTGAGGCAAGAGAATCACTTGAACGGGAGGTAGAGGTTGCAGTGAGCTGAGATTATGCCACTGGACTCCAGGCTGGGTGACAGAGCAAGAGTCTGTCTCAAAAAAACAAAACAAAAGCAAACAACCATGAGATCATAAAAGTACATTTCTCAAATCAGTCTCTCCTTCAAAGTGTGGAGGTGACATATTAATAATGTTCCCCTTTCAGCATTTGTGACACCTGGGTGTACCATATTTTCTTTTCCTTGCTGAAGTCTAATTTAGCTTCTCTTAGGTTCCCAGGAGGCTTGCAATATAGACTGAGATTTGTATTTTCCTTATTTTCATATGTATCCTCCAAGAAAACCATTAGTTGTGGCTTTAAAAAATATAGAAAAAGCTTCAATATAATATAAACACTATGGCCTTATTTCTCTAAAGAATAATGTGCAACATTAAAAAAAACTTGATGGATTTTCTTGAAAATTAACACTGATTTTCTTTAAGTTCTGAGACAATATATATTTTCGGGCTTTTGTGTATTTTCTGCATCTTCTGCAATAATCATGGATCATTTTTATAACTGGGAAAAAATCGAATGTATGTTACTAGAACAAAAGAAAAAGGAATGGTCTCCAGTATATGCCCGTTTTGAATGATGAGCAGCAGCCCCGATGGTCCTGCAGGCTGGAGGGGAAGAGTGAGTTGCTACCAGACAGCACAGATGGGTGTCAGAACACAACAGGTCCCCAGCTTCCTGGGGCTTGCAGTGTCTTACCTGTCATTTCCAGAATACATGCTGGCATATTCTTTCTTGACCTCCTCTAAGCTGCTTGCATGCCCATCCTCCAGGTTGAGGGATACTATTGGGGAGTTCAAGGCCAGGAAGACAAAGGGAAAAGTCAGGCCTCTGTTGAGTCTTTCCCACCCTTCTGGCCCAGATGGGCCATGGGTGGGACCCTGAGATCTCCAGGGTCGGCACTGGGGAGACCAGAGCTCAGTTTCTCCTTCTAGGTATGAGGGCGGAGCCTTGGACAAGCACCGGCCCACTTTTTCTCTGGCCTCTGAAGATGAGATCAGGTGCCTTCAGCAGTACCCCAGTAGGGAACTCATCAAAGTCACCTGGCCTGGTGACTCCGGCCGGTCCTGCTGGACTGCAGGCTCCCTAAGGAGAGAGACCCTCGACATTGGTCCAAGCACAGTGCCTGGCACACAACAGGCCCTCAATAAATATTTGTTGATTCATTGCAACCCAATCTCTGTTTTCAATAGAAAAACTGGACCAGTTTTCTCCAGGAAGGGAGATGGGGTTGGCAAGTAGGAATCCCTTACCTTTGAGCTTCAGCAGATTATCCAGGGTTTGCTCCAGTTCCGGAATATAACTCTTTGCCTTATTCAGAACCTGCCACTGAGGAGAGACAGAGGCAATGCTAAAGTCAGCCTCTCACTGCAGAGACTGGTTTTGTGGACCCAGGAATTCCTTCCCAGTGCTGAGGCCACGCTCCCTCAGACGCAAAGTTATATCCTTTAACTTTGTCAGTAAAAAGAATAGAAAGTTCTGATGCACAGAAGGCAGGAAGTTTTGTTTGTAGCCTAGAATGGGTTCTCACCAAAATGCCAAAGTATTTGGAAAGAGTTAAGCTTTGTTCAGCAAGTTGCTAGTGCTGTAGAAAGGCAAACAACTACGGAGGCAGCTTGAAGGTGGAATAAGGGGTGATGGAAGAGGCACGGTCTGCATGAATGTCAGGCTTGCTCAAGGCACAGAGCTAGTAGACGTCAGCTCAGTTGTAGCATTGTGCAAGGGGCTAGTTAATATTAAATGTTCTAATCTCCCACTATTTTTATTTGCTAAATACATATACTCCAGATGATCTAAAAACTTATCAAATGCTGTCAACCTCAACTCCAAATTTCCCCCTTTCCCTTCTTCTCTCCCTGCCTCCCTCCCTCCCCCCTCCCCTCCCTCCCCTCCATTTCTTTTCCTCCCTCCTTTCCTCCCTCCCTCCCTCTCTTCCTTCCCACCTTTCCTTCCTTCCTCTTTCCCTCCTTCTCTGTCTTCCTTCCTTCTTCCCTCCTTTCTTCTTGTATGTAACATTATTAAAGTCAAAATGGTAACAGCAAGATTATTCAAAAAATGAGCAATGCTAAATGTTCATTAGGCCGACCACCTACATCTGCAGGGGCTGCATGCATCCCTTGGACATGTACAAGGGCAAAACTGTGTGCTAAGTCCCAGGGATACAGAATACCTAAGGCAGTCCCTGCTCTCAGAGTACCAACCTCTGACACAGAAGACAAGCACGGAAACAACCCCTTATAACACAAGATAGAACTAAGTAGGTACTAACAAGCGGTAGAAGCAAAGTGCTGTGGAAATGTACAAGGAGGAGGGACTAGTTCAACTGGAGGGGTCCAGAAGATTCCATGGAGCGGGGCAGCTGAGCAGAGTGAGCCAAGCCCAGCTTTGAAGTGTACACAGAATCCCAAAGGCAGAGCTAACTGCATGAGCAGAGACACAGAGGCGGTGAGAGGCAGCTTGGCTCAGGGAACTTCTGCAGCAAGATGTGGCCAGAGTGTGGGGTGGGCATGGGAGGGGACCCCAAAACAGCTGGGGGCGGAACAACCTGGGATTTGACATGCTAGATTCCAAGGATTCTGGTGGGTGACTTAAAAGGAGACTTGAGGAAAGCTGGAATCACAGTGTCCTGCCAGCCCAAAACGAAGGGGAAGGGAACCGCAGCTGCATGACAATACAGAGGATTGTGGGCTCCTTCAACACTCCCCGGGCCCAGGGCTCATGTTGATGCTATTGGGTCAGCAAGAACTTGGAACCAGGGGCTGAGTGACTTCCAGAATCTTGGGCTTGTTTGTAGGGTGGAAAGATGCTTCTCCAGCTACTGTGGTCTGAATGTGTGTGTCCCCCCAATATTTAGTATGTTGAGACCCAATCCCCAGTATGATGGTATGAAGAGGTGGGGCCTTTTGGGAGGTGATTAAGGTGATTGTTCCCCTTCTAAAAGAGTCCTGAGGGAGGCTGTTTGTCTTTCCACCACGTGAGGACACAGCAAGACAGCCCTGTCTATGCACCTGAGAGCATGCCCTCACCAGACACCCAATCTGATGGCATCTTTGTCTTGGACTTAGTAGTCTCCAGAGCCAGGAGCCATAAGCTTCTGTTGTTTATAAATTGCCCTTTCTAGGGCATTTGTTGCTACCCCAGCAGAAGTGGCAGCTCCAAGCCAGTCCCTGCCCTGTAGCACAATCTCTCCACAGGTGGAAACGTCTCCTCCCCCGTGGAAATGTCCCCTCTCCTCATCCAGGTCCCCATACCTTTGAGGCTGTGAGATCAGACTGAGAGTACACTGTCTTCCTGAGATTGTCAAAGAGCGCCGCCAGGGTGGCTCGGTGGCGGGCCTGGGACAGGCGTCTCCGGGCCACCCGAGAATCAAGATCCTGCGGCTGTGCTGGCAGCTGGGGTGTCATGCTCTCATGGGGGTTGCTGCTTTCTTCAGGGGTCGCCATTATAAGCTGTAATGTAATATTACGTTTTACCCTAGATAATAAAAATACAATATTAAAAGAAAAGGAAGATAAATTGTGGCAAGCAGAAAGAAGGGACCCCTCCCAAGTAAAGGCCCCAAGTTCACTCCCTCCTGAATTCAGTTCTTTGCAAGATTTCCAGTGAGAGGCAATGCATTTGAGAAACTTACAAAAGCCCTTTGAGGGTGATGGTGGTCATCTGCTAATTAAGAAGGGTAGGTGGAGATTATACAGGGTCAACACAAAATCTGTTACTGAAACTCAGCTCCTAAAATTGCAGACCACCCATGTTGGACTTAGAGTTGAGGGGCCCTGAGACTTACCTCAGAAGGTTCCAATATTGCAGGTACTCACCAGACACTTGTTAATTTCAGGGGTTAATTTTAAGGATGGCCAAGGAGAACAGCCATACCCTGAGATCTCAGGCTTTACAGACTGCTCAAAGTTGAACAGTTACTTGTCCCCGCTGTGAGGTCTTTACTCCCTTACGAATGTCCCGGCTTAGATGTGGTTACACAGGTGTATGCATATGAGAAAAAAAAAATCCTTCAAGGGGTACACTTTAGACTCATGAATTTTTCTGTGATACACCTCAAGGAAAAAACAAGGCAAACAAGAAAATTCACTCTTCCACCTGTGCAAGAAAGAAGTCACCCAACCACAGAGAAGTGAAAGCCATTTTGCCTTATCTGCCTCTAGAGGATTCTGGAAATGATCACTGTGTCCTTCTTTGTCGCATCTGAGCTTACAAGCCAGAAGCCCTTCTCTAGTGGAGGCTATCGTGGGACTGACATGTAATTGTTTTAATAAGTGGCCAGGGCCTCTTACCTGAGCCATGGACCCTTCCATCAGGTCTCACCCTGCTACTTAGAGAGCTGCTCTCCACAAGCCTGCCTGCCCTTTGAACAGGGAGGCTGCGACTTCATCACTTCTCTACCCTCAGGGCATAAGACAGAGCCTGGCCCCTCTGGGTGCTCAGTGCTGGGGTTCTGATGAATTACAGTGAGATGTTTCTACTGGGTCCACTTCCCCCTGAGCTCAGTCCTGCTGGACAAAGACAATGCATGACCTTCGCCAAGGGTTTGTTAATTTTGAGGTATGTTAGAGTCACCGGGGAGACTATTGAAAACATACATGGCTAGGCCCTGCCTCGAAAACATTGGATCGGAACCCAGCACGCAGCTCACCGGGTGATTCTTATACTTTCACAATTTGAGAGCCACCGCTAGCTCCTGATTTGTGTGTCAAGCATCACCACGGCTGGCAGCAGCTGGAAACAGAATCTCCATTGAGGGATTATGGGGAAGGGAGATGGAAGAAGCCTTTCCGACTATGCTTTACTAGCGAAAATAGGCCAAGGAGATGATGAACCCAATCAGGCAATGTGGGATTTTTAAAACACTTTTTAGGCCAAAAAACAACTTCTCATCAATAATCTGGTCTTCCCCAGTATATCAACTTGCTCTTGTTTTGCTTCTTGGAACAGGGCAGGAAGATGGGAACGGTGATGCTCTGGTTGCCCGTGCTGGTCCCTGCAAGTCTGTTTCACATCTGTTACCAGGAGTTACACTGTGGTATCTTCAAGGGAAAACAACATGAATCTGCAGAGGCCCCTCAAGCCTTGCTCCAGGGTTATGTTAGATTAGAGCCTGTGCCTTCATCATCTTCAATTTCCAGACACTAAGTAATCTTTAGTAGGAAGCAAAGTGAAACTGATGATTTTGAACTGCCCAGGGAAAATGAGAACCCTTTGAACAGAAGAACTTAGGATTTTTTGTTTATTGTTTTTACTTGTTTAAGTTAAGGAGCAACAGATGTGCCTGCACACCAGGGGATTTAGGTGAGCATATATAAAAAGGGAAGCGGGTGGGAAGCACTGTTCAAGATGAACAGAGGTATAAGAATACCAGGGTCTTCCCGGGACCTCAAACTCTCTCACAGTGTCAGGATACTAACAGCAAAAGCCTCTGGGCTTGTAGGGAATCTGGAGCCTCTCCCAATGCCAGTGCTGATAGTTTGGGTATCCTCCTAAGGTTCTGCCCAAACACACTCTGCCTGAAATTGCTGGACGGCTGTGTGGACAGTTTCAGCCTGGACAAGGATGCAGTCCTCTGCCTCCCCCATAGGGAGCAGGCTTCCCACCAGTTGCTTCTAGGAGCCACCAGGGCTGCACGCCACTAGGGGGTGGGGACAGCCCCAGAGCATGCTGGCCAAGCTGCCTGGAACTGCAGCCTCCATCTTGCCTGCCCCCTGCCCCCCGCCCCCAACCTGGTCAGGAGCTGGGGGAAATTTCCACCCCCACCTTGGCTCAGGGAGGGGGCAAACCGCAGGGAAGATGAGAGATGACCCTCCTATTAATGTTCTAAGGACAGAATCAAGCCCTAGAGATATTACTTTTTTTGTTTTTTTGAGATGGAGTCTCATTCTGTCGCCCAGGCTAGAATGCAGCGGCACGGTCTCGGCTCACTGCAGCCTCTGCCTCCCGAGTTTAAGCAATTCTCCTGCCTCAACCTCCCGAGTAGCTGGGACTACAGGCACACGCTACCGCGCCCATCTAATTTTTGGTAATTTTAGTAGAGATGAGGTTTCACCATGTTGGCCAGGATGGTCTTGATCCGCCTGCCTTGGCCTCCCAAAGTGCTAGGATTACAGGCGTGAACCACCGCACCCCGCTGTTACTCTTAATTAGACCCTGAATGATTTTCAGTGTCTTCCCTCCAGATCCTGCCTCCTGCTCACTACTAGCAACCACTGTGCTATGATCCCCACAAGGCATTCTTTCCAAGTTATTTCGATGGACTTGGAATTTTTTCTTCTCTGTGGCCCTGACAGAGTCTTAGGTAGATCTTTTTCAGACGGAGCTCTTTTTTATCTAATAATACACTTTGGTCTGTCCCATAGGCACCTGTGATTTGACTGAAGGACTGGCTCTCCTGGAAGAAGTGCCTCAGAATCACTGTCTAGGATGGGGAGAGGAGGGCAGGACCTCCAGCCTTATTCCAAGGTTGGCTGTTTGGCTAGAAGGGGGAATGAAACAGGCTGTGAAAGGGGAGCTGACTATTGTAAAAATGAGATCAAGAAGTGATCTTTTATTTAAAAACAAAACTCTTCTCTCCTAAAAGCCCTCTGCTTTTAGTATATCAGAGTATATCAGATGCTATAGTATATCAAAGCATATCAGAGAAGCTGCTCCCAGCAGTGTAAGGAATTATAGCAATGTAGAGAAAAGAGTCTGAAATGCTCATCATTAGGATCTGGAACTGCAGTTTAATAGCCTCAAAGACTCAGAATCTCCAAATTTCCCCTTTATGTCACTTTCATTGTTTTAAAAAAGAATGACTTGCTCCTCTACTCAGCAATCATTATTCTGTGACCCATTGCCTCTCCTTCCACCTATAACGCCATCTCTCTCTGCCGCTGTCTTCAGTCTCTAAGGATCTGGAGCCAACTTGCCCTTCAATTCCCAGTTTAAGTCCCACTTTGTTTAAGGAGCTTCCCAGTCCCAGGCCATACTGGTTTCTAACTCAATCATGTTCTGGCAACAACTCAGAAAAATCTTTGGTCAGGTCCTGTGTGTCAAGCATCAGTTGTATCCCTCCCAGGAAGTGGTACCATGTGTAGACTTAAATGATGAACTCAATCCTCAAGAAAGGGTTGGCTTAGCCTGGACTACTAAGACAAAAAATCTCCCCAGCGTGGGGATGGGCAGAGACACTGGGTTGAATGAGCTAGAGGAAAATGAAGATTAAGAGAAAAGCTTGGTGGGTGGAGGGAAAATAACATCTTAGTTCCACCCTAACCCAAAAGACCTCTCTGCATCCTAAGCATTCACTCCCTCAGGAATTCAGTTCTTGGCAAGATGTACAGTGAGAGGCAATGCATTTGAAAAGCCTACAAAAGCTCTTTCAAGTCATGTTGGTCAATTGCTAATTAAGAAAGGTAGGTGAAGATTATACAGGGTCTAGAGGCTGTATATCCTATCCTGACTTGGGAAACTGGACATGCTTGAAGAGGTGAATGTGTCTGTTTGGGCATCTAAAATGAGTGAGAATTGAGGGAACTCAGTACAGAGATCGTAGTTTAAAGGAAGCTAATCTTAAGGATGATACAGAGACACAATCAAAAATGGAATGAGCTGGCAAAGGGAAAGGCAAGTTGGGTTATGGATTGGCTTGAGACCTGGGTCATAACCATAGCTTCAGGCTAACCAACCTTGTGACCTTGTGACTTTGGATGAGGTAAGGAATCTCTCTAGTTCATCTATATATAAAGATGGGGTCTCACTCCATTGCCCGGGCTAGTCTTGAATGCCTGGGCTCAAGTGAACCTCCCTCCTCAGCCTCCTAAAATGGGATTACAAGCATGAGCCACCACTTCTGGCCTCTAGTTCTTAATTTCTTTTTTTTTTTTCTTTTTCTTTCTCTCTTTCTTTTGAGATTAGGTCTCGCTCAGTTGCCCAGGCTGGAGTGCAGTGGCAATCTCATGGCTCATTGCAGCCTCGAATTCCTAGGTTCAAGTGATCCTCCCATCTCATTCTTCTGAGTCTCCCACCTCATCCTTCTGAGTAGCTGGGACTGCAGGCATACACCACTGGGCCTGGCTAAACTTTTCTGTACAGACAGGTTGCCCAGGTTGGTCTTGAACTCCTGGGCTCAAGTGATCCTCCCATCTTGGCCTCCCAAAGTGCTGGGATTATAGGCATGAGCTACCATATCTGGCTTTAATTCCTTTATCTGCATAAAGGGGGTAAAAATTATTTAACTAGATTATAGTCTGAATGTTTTCACTTTTTTTTTTTTTTTTTGAGATAGAGTTTCGCTCTTGTTACCTAGGCTGGAGTGCAATGGCGCGATCTCGGCTCACTGTGACCTCCGCCTCCTGGGTTCAGGCAATTCTCCTGCCTCAGCCTCCTGAGTAGCTGGGATTACAGGCACGCGCCACCATGCCCAGCTAATTTTTTGTATTTTTAGTAGAGATGGGTTTTCACCATGTTGACCAGGATGGTCTCAATCTCTTGACCTTGTGACCCACCCGCCTCGGCCTCCCAAAGTGCTGGGATTACAGGCGTGAGCCACCGCGCCCGGCCTGTTTTCATCTTTAAAAGGTTGTGGTCATGATTCTATGACTATCTGGAGAAAAAATTAAAAAAAAAAAATAAGCCACTCATAATCAACAGAAGTAGGGTATAGAACAAACAGTGTGAGAAGCTGATCTTAAGGAATTTTGGGGACTTCCTTATGTTTACAAACAAATGTTTACTGAACACTTTCTCTGTGCAAAGCCCATTTATTATACAGGAAACTGAGGCCCAAAATAACACTAGGCATTTCAGAATGGCCATAGCTCTAACATAATTTCCCCTTTTCAAAACTTACTGCTGCCCAGGCGCGGTGGCTCTTGCCTGTAATCCTAGCACTTTGGGAGGCTGAGGCAGGTGGATCACTTGGTCTTAAGAATTTGAGAGGAGCCTGGGCAACATGGCCAAACCCCATCTCTACAAAAAAATACAAAAAGTATCCAGATATGGTGTGCCTGTAGTCCCAGCCAGCCAGGAGGCTGAGGTGGTAGGAGCATTTGAACCTGGGAGGCAGAGGTTGCAGTGAGCTGAGATCGTGCTGCTGCACTCCAGCCTGGGTGACAGGTAAGATTCTGTCTAAAAACAAACGAACATCAAACAAAGAAAACCAAAACTTCTTTCTGCGTTCAGTCGTGTTCATGAGATGGGCTTGCCAAACATAACCTTTCAGCCTAACAAAGTTAGAAGGCAGCTTCATTGATACCTTCTTCTAAAAGGGAATTTGGGAGGATTAACACTGTTACATGATATATTTTTATTAATTCTTATCTATAAAGCAGAGCATACTTTCATTACTACATGTTTTCCTATTGAAACTGTTTAATATCCACTCAGAGCTGACATTTAACAAACTCCCCAGGCTAAACTTTTAAAAAATGCTCTCACCTTCTCCACGTTTCAGAGAAATGTTCATTTTTAAGCATCACTCCGCAAAATATTTGAGTGTGATCCACTCTCATTAGCAAGCCGCAGGCAAACAATATAATACACTGGATAAAGTACGGTAACTCACAAGCAGCTTCCTTTGATTCTCTATCTATATCAGATTATGTAAAAGTAATCCAAAATTGGCCGGGTGCGGTGGCTCATGCCTGTAATTCCAGCACTGTGGGAGGCCGAGGCAGGTGGATCACCTGAGGTCAGGAGTTCAAGGCCAGCTTGGCCAACATGGCGAAACCCAGTCTCTACTAAACATACAAAAAGTTAGCCGAGCGTGGTGGCACGCGCCTGTAGTTCCAGCTACCCGGCAGGCTGATGCAGGAGAATTGCCTGAATCCGGGAGGCGGAGGTTTGCAATGAGCAGGGATAGCGCCATTGCACTCCAGCCTGGGCAGCAAGAGCGAAACTCCGTCTCAAAAAATAATAGTAATAATTCAGAATCATTCTCAAAAATGTAGGTAGCCACGATGACGGATAAAAAGCCTCCTGTGAACTCAGCGCTAAAAGTTCACCTGTTTGGCTCCACGGAGTCGAATTCATTCGCGTTTACACAAACACTCATATATGCCCAGAGGCTCCTTTCTGGAGAGGAGCATTCGAAGGATACTTACGCGCCGACTGTGCACGCGATGTCCCCACTCCTGGGACAGCAGTCACCCAGCCTGACGCGCCGGAGTGGGGATCGCGGCTCTTGTCTGAATCTGGCACCTCGTTACAGGGGTGGGGACCAATCACGTCCCTGTCCCCCACTGCTGCAGCCAATTGGGATGCGCCGTGGCGGGCCAATGGGCGTGTGGGCAGTGGAAGAAACTGTGTAACCAGTTGTCCGAAGGCGACAGAAAAGGGCAGAGAGAGAAGAGGGAGGGGCGGGCGGGGCTGAGTCTCACCTCGCAGGTCGCAAGGGGTCAGGGAGGGGACCCCCGTGTCAGTCATCAGCTCGGGGGCTCCACACAGCATACAAGTGTCCTGGGAGGACTAAGTAGGTGTCCTCCAGCTTGTTCCACTTACTTGGCATTGAACCCCAGTTTTCTCATCCCTCAAATGGGGTAATACCACCAGCTTATAGGGTTGTCCTGAGGGTTAGGGAAAACCCCTTAGATAAAGGCATCAGAATACCAGGCTCGCTGTCTCAAGAGAAAACATGAGAAAATGGCGTGAAGGAAATAGACGCATACAAGGGAGAGAGGGAGATGACATTTTAAATAAGGCAAGAAGAAATAAAGGATGGGGAGAAAACTGGGTGCAGAGAAAGGACCTTTAGTAGCTCAGATTAAAATATCAAGAATAAGAGAGAAAGAGGTTTCACTCTGGGCAGTAGGAAGTAGGTATTCTTTCAGTTTGGAAAAAAAAAATTCATTTTTCCTTCCCAAATATAGATGTACTCTCATCTTTAGGCTTCCTTTTGCTTGTATTCTTATATCCTGAAATATTTCGTGATGCTCATGATCCCACTACATTTGGTTGACACTGGTGAGGGTACGAGCGAGGCCCTGCACATTTGGTGAGCAGATACAGGACTAAGCCCCTTGAAGTGCCTGGCTCAGGGCCGGTGCACGGTGCACGAAGCATGGCTCCGCCCAGGCGCCCCCTTGCTGCCGTCTGATGGGCGGTCTCCTTCACTCCTGAGGCGGGGGTGAAACAGGGGTCACAGGGCTTAGCAGGCCTAGCAGAGGATTCTGGATTAGAATCCACCTCTCAGGGACTGAAAGGGATATCAATGAGTCCCTAGGGAAAGCACGCAATAGGGTACCGGGCAGGCTTAGACATTCATGAAATTTGACGTCAGTGAGATGTCACATATAAAGAAACTGTCACATAAAAACATAAAAACCTTCCAGTAAGAGTCAACTCTCATTCTCCCTTTCTAGCATTTTTTTTTTTCTTTTTTTCTGAGTCAGATTCTCATTCTGCCACCCAAGCTGGAGTGCAGTGGCCTGATTCTAGCTCACTGCAGCCTCGATATCCCAGTCTTAAGCAATTCTCCTGTCTCCTGAGTAGCTGGGACTGTAGGCACGCACCACCACGCTGCATGAATTTTTTTATTTTTTTTGTAGAGACAGGCCTTTCTAGGAAAACTTAAAATGTTCACTTCACTCCAAAATTCTGCTTTGGTCGGCTGCCTGCCTTCTGGCTCTCCCACACCCCTTGACCCAAGGTCGCTGAGGGCTTTGAAGAGCTTGTCACTACCCCACCCCCACTCCCTGGCTTCTCTCTCCTGGACCTGCCCCACACCTCCCACCACCAGCCCCACCTGCAGTGTTGCTGAGGACCTAGGAGTTTGTGAAGCTCTGCTTGGGGAGCCTTATCCTTGCACCAAGATGACAGAGTGTGGTTTGGAAACTGACCTCTGATCTGCCGCAGCCTTTCATATAGTCACCCCATCTCCCACCCAAGCCATTACCACATAGACAAGCAGATTACACCCAGAAAAAATGCAATCCTGGAGGGGCAGTTATTAAGAAACTTACCTACCTGCCGCAGCCTGATTTCTTTATTGAAAATGAGGATCTTGTCCACTTCAGTCAACCTTCCCCATATCTACAAGGCAGAAGGCTCTGCCCATGAACACTGGGGACCTCCTGGTGGCCTCTCACTAGCTCTGGATACCATGAGTTCTCCCCGGTAACATCCACACACAGCATCACCCTCTGACCTTGACCCCTTCCTCCCAGTAGCAAAACTCTTACCTTAAAATATACCTCCTCAGCTGGGCGCGGTGGCTCTCACCAGCACTTTGGGAGGCCAAGGCAGGTGGATCAGAAGGTCAAGAGATTGAAATCATCCTGGCCAACATGGTGAAACCTCGCCTCTACTAAAAATATAAAAATTAGCTGGGCATGGTGGCACATGCCTGTAGTCCCAGTATTCAGGAGGCTGAGGCAGGAGAATTGCTTGAACCTAGGAAGCGGGGGTTGCAGTGAGCCAAGATCATTCCACTGCACTCCAGCCTGGCGCCTGGCGATGAAGTGAGACTCTGTCTCAAAAAGAAAAAAGAAAAGAAAAAAATATATATATATATATACACACACACACACACCGCCTCCCCACCACAGGAGCATAGATCCTGTCCAGAAATCTCCTCCCCCTAGAGTAAAGTAGATACTTCCCTGAAATATTGCCCCAGCAACATAGATCCTGCCCTGTAATTCCTCCTGCACAGTGGCATAGATCCTGTCTTGAAATAATCTACCCTAGCAGAGATCCTGCTGGGAAATACTCTCCTTCTCTCCCAGTTGGAGAGTGTGCCCTCCTCCCAGATCCAGCTCAACACCCAGGAAGCCTTCCAAGATCCCTGCATTCACACCAACTCGGGATGCCCACCCCTTTTTGTGCCTCTTGGCCCTGACTTCCTGGTTAGAAAAATAGCCTTCTGAATTTGTTCCTCTTGTTAGTCTCTATCCATTTCATGAGATAAAAGGCAGGGACCTCATGCTGTAGTATCTTCTTATCCTCCAAATAAAATGAGAGTGATGGATCCTGTACTGAGAGTCTACTGTGTTCTGAATCCTCGTGGACAACCCTGTGAAGAGTCTTCTCCCCAGACTCAGAGAGGGCCAGGGACTTGCTCAAGGTCTTCTCTCCTGTCCCCTATGCTCCATGGCCTCTTGGGGGGCATTAGGTCCATGAAATATCAACTACCTTAGGCCAGAGAGAAATCTGCGTGATTTTGTAACTTTTAGAATGAAAAGAACCCTCAGCTTTGAACTGAGGTCTACAGACAGTGGCTCCCAGGGAAGAATGAAAAAGGCAGAGACACAAAGGAGGGGTGTGCTCTGACTGCAGTCAGGGGCTCCCAGCACTTCTGCCAAGATGAGCCTGAGACACAAACCTAGATAGGCTTTTGCTCGCTGTGTCCTTTGCATGGGGCCAGACATCAGCTTCCAAGGGAGCCTGTGGATACAGTAAGCTCCTTTATGGGGAGCAGGTATTGCTGGGTCAGTATGGCTGGGCACTTCCTGCTATAGGAGGGCAGATGTATGACCCCATAAAGACCTGCCCCAGGGTGAGGGTCCTCACCCTCCCCAGACCTCCATAGTGAAAATTCCCAAAGAGTCATACTTTCATCACAGCTCAGCATCAACTTCCAAGGGACTGCTTTTGGAGTTTCCATTTTAAGGGTTTCGTGTATATGTGAAAGTGCTTCAAAATGTAGAAAGAGCTGATAAAGAAGGATGAAACTTGTGAATAAAAGTACATTCTTTGTGTTAACTTCTCGGTGGTTTGACAGGGAACTTCTGCTATAGGGAGTCACAATTTATTTCACTACAAAGATTAAAACTTGTTTTCATTTACTCAGTTAATAGACCTAGTCTATTGTGCTTGAGAGTCATTGAGAAAATACATTGGTCTCTTAATGTTTTACCATCAAAATGGGCAAACTATTGCTGTGAAAGTTAGATCGTTTCTTTTGTGGATAAAATTGATCATAGATCCTCAAATGTGCTAAATTTAGACGGTACTTTAAGCTAGAGATATTAAGTCAGTAAGTATTTCAGTGAACGATCATCATCTATTTCATTATATTTTCTCTGATTCATGTTGGAGTTTATTTTGTTTTCTTTTAGGGAATGACTTTTACAGTTATTATACCAGTCAGTTCAGTTATTTTTCAGAAGGACAGAGGATTTGCATATGTGATAAGATTCACTTCTTTCTTGATTATATAAGAATATTGGGGGCCGGGCGCAGTGGCACTATCCTATAATCCCAGGACTTTGGGAGGCCAAGGCGGGTGGATCACCAGGTCAAGAGATCGAGACCATCCTGGTCAACATGGTGAAACCCCGTCTCTACTAAAAATACAAAAATTAGCTGGGCATGGTGGCACAGCCTGTAGTCCCAGCTGCTTGGGAGGCTGAGGTAGGAGAATTGCTTGAACCCAGGAGGCGGAGGTTGTGGTGAGCTGAGATTGCACCATTGCACTCCAGCCTGGGTAACAAGAGCAAAACACCGTCTCAAAAAAAAAAAAGAATATTGGGCCATCCTAATATTGGTCTACTTTGGGATGAAAGAGAGAGTTTAGTTTCTTGGGTGGGGTTGTGTGTAGAGTAGGAATGAGTCCTTGGAACCAGATGGTTTAATATGTCAAGGATGTAGGATCAGAAACATGGAACCTGCATAGTCTGATGTTGAGGCAGCTCCTTAGCAGCTCCAAGAGTCTGCTGGGTCAGTCTTGGCCAGCGCATGGGCAGTCAAATCAGGGTGAGACATGAGGCTTGCTTTCTTCATGTCTGAGAGACTGCTCCATTAGGTTTCTTTTTCACCTGTTCTAAACTACTATCTTGGTTTCCAGCATAGATGATGTCAGGGTTTGAATAACCGCCACAGCTGCAAGACAGGTGATGGTCACGCTTCCTAGCAAAAGTTATAGTAGATGAGTCACTGTGAGCGTCCAGGGCACTGGGGGCTTCATGTATTTTCTCAGAGGGTGAGAGATGGTAACTGGCCCAAGAGCAGCTAAAGATTTCCATGAGAGGGCAGTGGTTACCCCAGGCCTCAACCTACGTTGATGGCTATCCAAGAGTGACAGTCTTATCTAATCCCACTGTACATTATATTTTGGGTCCAGTGGCCCCACTTTATTATAAGTAGAAGAGTCACGTGGATCTCCCCTTTTCACCTCCATATTATTTTCTCTTGTGTCTGCTACCATCAGGACTGATGTGGGTTCTCTCAGTCCTGGTCCATGGGA